ATTGCAGCTCCGTCAGGCAGATATCTCATATAGAGATGATTTTTATGTCTATTTAAATAGCAATGAAGCCATTCTCTTTTTGTATCATGATGCATTTCATAGAAAATAAGTACGTGTCTTACAGACATGCTGTCATACTCTTTCTGATGTTTTCACTCTGGTAACTATTAGAATAGTAGAAAATGGAACCTCATCTTAGGGGAATGTGAGGTACTTCATGATAGCACATCAATCTATCAGACACTTTCCAAATTCAGAGAAGCTACTCAAACAAAATTAATAATAATATTTAAACTATTATTAATAATAGATACAGAGCTAGGCTATTCCAGTCCATCTGACCTAGATGATGAATTCAGATACATTTAACAATGAACTTTGCCTTGTCATGTATCATACTGTAGTGAACAGCAGCTAGAAGATGTCACATGAAAATGAAGGTGACAAGTCTTCTAGAAACTAAGTTTACCTAAGGCTACTTAATAATCTGAGACTCACCCAGCCTTAGCAGTGTCTGAGCAGTATAAAGAGTGCTGCAGACCCAGATATTTTGATCGGTAAGGGCTGAAGACCCCCCTTTCTTTCTATCTGGCTTTTGTCTGGCTTCGGCTTCTTTGTCAGTTTTTTCCCCCATGAGAATTTTGTTTAAAAATGTGTGCCTAAAGTTAAGCTCCCCTGAAGTTAGTTTTGTATCATTTGAACTTCTAGATCACTTTGGGGCAGGCTTTCCAAAGTATTTAGATTGTGAAAATTGCAAATGGAAGCATAGTGGGATTTTCAAAAGCACTTAAACAGATAAGGCACTTAGCTCCCATTTAAATTAATTAGCTGGATTGAACAAGTGCCTTTGGCACTTTTGAAAGTTCCACTGCTAAGTGTTTATGTCTACATAAAAAAATATGATTTTCCAAAGAAGCTGAGCATCCAGCAACTCCCTTTAAAGTTTATGACTATTACAGGTTTTCAGCAGTTCTGAAAATTATACCATATCCCTGGTTCTATGTTCCCAAATGATCCTGCTTCACTTTCTTGTTTCTTAAATGTTTTTACTATCATTTATTGTCTAAAGTTAATCTCAGAGAAGAAGTGGGATCAATAGTACTATAACCTAAGAATAGAAAAATAGTGACACAGGTGAATCTTCTGCATGGGTTCAAGAAGCTGAGTCCTTTGGTATATACATTCAATGACTGAAAAAACTGATAGAGCTTTAAGACCATTGTTGTAATTATGTCTTGTACTGGATTTCCTTATTACATTCATATTATGCAAAATAATAGCTCAGAAACACATTACAGGCAAAGAGTGCTGCAGGTTGTGGGTAGCTGGGAATGAACCAGATGACCAGAAGTAGCATGACTTTTCAGTCTTTAATTGCTGCATATATAGAAACCCTTAGCAGACCTCTTCGGATGTAATAAAAGCAAGCAGTGCTCACTCTGAAGTATAGTTTTCCCTGCCCTTTACTCTGCCTCTATTACAGTAGTGTCTAAGTAGCAGTCTGAGGGTATACACACACTAGCATTTTGGTTTTAATCAAGAGTCTGCTTTTGAAATGAATCTGCTAATTATTCCCACTTAGCACGCTTGCTCACTGTGGAGTGGATCTCGGGCTATGTGAACTGGATTGCTTTTGGCTGAAATGAAAACAGAAGATGCTTTCCAGAAGGACATCTAATCTTCTTTAATCATTACTGGATGTTCAGTCCACTGAACTACGTCAAAATTAGTTCAATATAACCTTCCTTCCCAGACTCTAATTTCAAATACTGACCAATGTGAACAACAAGTCCTCAGAGCCAACACCTTTGCTCCACAGACTGGTTTTTACTATGCCACGTTGCTTGTTAATGTAGCTATAAACTGAGTTGTCAGGATGGTTGGGTTCATGGGAGAATCCCATCTTTGCACCCACTTTCAGACTTAAGATCCTACAATGCCAGAATCTCAGATCTGCAAGTATCTTAAAGGGGATCTCTAATTTGAAACACTGGCCAATGTTTCTTGGGAATATATCTTCTCTTTCTTGTTAGATAGAAAATGAAATAAAAAACTCATGAGCAAGAACTCATAACATTTTTGTTAAGAACTTTTTCAGAAATGAAGGTCAACCGAAATGTAACTGAAGGTTTTGCCTAAAAAAAGTAATCCAGACAAGACAGATTGTAAAACATGACTTGTATACCTTGTAAAATGCACCTGCACCAGCCATTCATTCTGGTTATACTTTACATTGATTTAGAATTTTTTAATGCTTTAAGAGTCCATTCTTGTTTGAATCATTCCATCACTAACAGCTAATAGTGCTTATATTCATAATTAATTTAGGAAAAAAAAAAAGAAAATACTCAAGTTTGTTTAGCCAGTGAGTTTTCCAACATTCATAACCCTGTATTGCCATGCTGGAAATTATATCTTGTGTAGTTTATGTGTCAGATGTACTAGAATGAAAAACATAACATGAATCTTTACCAGTGACCTTCAGAAATAGGAATTTATTATCCATTGTTGCCATTGGGCAACACTGGGATGTTACGCCAGTGGGATGCGTAATCTGAGGCACTCTAATGTATTGCCAGCCAGGAAGAGTTTTTAAGCATACTTTTAGTCAATTAAAGCACTGTCAAGACAAAATTATGTGAAATCATAAGTAGCTGATTTCACATATAGCTGTACAATAGAAAGATATTGTTTTCTTTTTTCTTTTATTAAGGTAGAAACTCTGAAAGACACAAAGGAATTCTGTGTACCTATCTAAGCCGTGGATTCACAATACAGTAAATGTGGCTTTAGGATGCTTAATGCCAGATAAGAAACACTGTAGCTTCATGGTATTAAATGCTGATCTGGTATAAACTTACTTTGCTAGTTCAAATGTGTTAAAAAAATTAGACACCTTAGGTTTATCCTGTCAGGCTTTCTGCCAGATTAGATATTGCCTGTCCATGCCATTCTAAGTTTATGCTGGATCAGGCATTGTGTACTCTCCTGCTGATTCTGTATTGTGTGCTATAATCTGGCAAATATGCAGTACTGTTCTTTCTTGAGTCATCCCAAACTTATCCACAGATCTGGATTAATGACCATGGCCTCCTGTTGCCCCCATTATCATAGTATCTGACTAAATCACTAGCTTTGATGTGTTAATTCTTCTAACAACACTGTGAAGGAGAATATGTCTTTGCTATCACACTGATTTCATCATAACATGTTTCTTCTCCTGTCTAGTAGATGAAACAGTAGGGGTTATGCAGGCTTCGAGAATTTCAGTGATTAAAACCAGGAGATTGTAACAGAGGTGAATATTTTCTTAGAGTGTCAAGTGCTCTGCTAGGGCTCTATCAAAGCTATTTCGTGCAACTGGATTATTCTTATGGTTTTTAGGAAGCTAATTATTTAAATGATTTCCTTTTAGATAGTGAGCACAGACTGCACTTTGTGTAATTAGCACAGTCCTTGATATAAAATATGGTTAACTTCTGTAAGTTCAGGACCAATCCAAACCCCACTGAAGTCCTTGAGTGACTCTGGGGAGTCACAGAGCTGGTTTTATGAGTGAGTTTCTTGTCTCCTCGTTATTGTGTGGTCCCTTGTTTGCCCCTTTGAGTGGGGAATAACAGCAAAGTCCTACACCGTGCAGAAAAGTGGACGGAGGAGACTGAGAGCCTGGCTGCTTGTTGCTGCTTTATTCACCCTGCATGGTGCTGTAACTGGTGCTCTGGCTCTCCGAGGAAGGCAAATGAGGCCAGCAATGTTACATTGTAATTTATTCTCAAATCTGTTGAAAAATTGCTGGAAAAATAAACCATTAAGGCCAAAATTATCCTTCTTGATAAGCTGTCCTCATTCTGTCCTCCTCCAGAAGGAACTGAAAACATTCCTGTCACGTGAAGTTTTGTTACTGCTGTTTCACTTATAAATAAAGCCTCCAAATTAACCAAAAGTGCTAAGCACTTAATAGGCAAGAACAAGGCAAGTCCTTTGTCCTTGAGTGCTTACTACCTAACAAAGGAATGAAAGGTGGAGCCTGGGAGCAACACAGAGTGATTCTGGTGCCTACAAGTAACTCTTTGCTCCACGCACTGCTCTGGTTCACTCAGTGTGACCTCTTGCAGAACACAGTTTTACTAAGGGTGGGCTAGGGAGACCTGGGTCCAAACTGAGTGATAATTTTAAGCAGGAGATGCTTTAAATCCATGAATTTCCTATTCAGATTTTATTTGGGGGGGCATACAGGAAGAATAGATATGTGGATTAAAAAAGTATATTTTTCTGTGGAGAAATCTGGGATTTCCAAAACAAGACTGCATTGCGTGTGTCTGTTCCGTACTACAAAAAGATCCTTGGACTTTTAAAATCAGGACTAAAGTAGTAGCCATGACATCTTTTTCCATTATTATTCAGAAAGCAGTATACACTCATTTTTCTCTTCTAGAAATGTAAACAAAACAGTCGTGCATTTTAAGACTTAGAAAGTGGAAAAGTATAAAATATCCACATTTGTGGAAGAGGTGGCATCACAGATCTTTTTTCTGGCACTCTTTGTTCTGCCAGAGCTGATGCAAGGAGATTTTAACCTATTTCTTTACTGTACCAGAAACTTATCTGAAACTCACATAGCCTTATTTTGTAATTAAATGTTTGAGAACTACTGGTATTTATATTTGCATGGGATTAACTTTTAAAGCACTGCGTACAGGGCTTTTTGCTTTTAAACTAGCCTGGAGCCAATAAATATCTTTACAGGCGTCAATTTGGTCAGCAGTAAAGAGGTAAATAGAAACTAATGATACTCATCAAGCTTGTGGCATGAATGATTTATTGGACACAATCATTTCACACTTTCATAAAGTCAATACAAGGGAAAGAAACAGGTTTCTTATTATGGTAAACTGTATTTGTACTGTCAGCATGCAGTGATTTATGACAAACCTGTGGCCAGGATTAGGATATTATAAATGGGGGAAAATAGAAGGCTTATTAATTTTTTATACCCACAGGTAGAAGACATGCAGTGGGCCAATAGAGAACACACTCATCCAGCATCTGTCTGCAGCCTACCCTGTAAAGCTGGAGAAAGAAAGAAAACTGTGAAGGGAGTGCCCTGCTGCTGGCACTGTGAACGCTGTGAGGGGTACCATTACCAGGTGGATGAATTCAACTGTGAACTGTGCCCCATTAATAAGAGGCCCAACGCCAACCGTACGGATTGCCAGCTTATCCCTATAATCAAACTGGAGTGGCATTCTCCTTGGGCCATTGTGCCTGTCTTCATAGCTATTCTCGGTATAATTGCCACCACCTTTGTGATTGTGACATTTGTCCGGTACAATGACACACCGATCGTCAGGGCCTCTGGACGGGAGCTCAGTTACGTGCTCTTGACTGGGATTTTTCTCTGTTACTCCATTACTTTTTTAATGATTGCGACTCCTGATACAGTGGTCTGCTCGTTTCGAAGGATCTTTTTAGGACTTGGCATGTGTTTCAGCTATGCTGCCTTGCTTACCAAAACAAACAGGATTCACAGAATATTTGAACAAGGTAAAAAATCTGTCACAGCTCCCAAATTTATTAGTCCAGCTTCCCAGCTGGTGATCACTTTCAGCCTCATATCCATGCAGCTTATTGGAGTCTTCATCTGGTTTGCTATCGATCCACCACATATCATCGTAGACTATGGAGAGCAGAGGACACTTGAACCAGAAAATGCCAGGGGAGTTCTCAAATGTGACATTTCAGATCTTTCTCTCATTTGTTCCCTTGGATACAGTATTCTCTTGATGGTCACATGCACTGTTTATGCTATTAAAACAAGAGGGGTTCCAGAGACCTTCAATGAAGCAAAACCCATTGGATTTACTATGTACACAACCTGCATAATTTGGTTAGCTTTTATTCCAATCTTTTTTGGTACGGCCCAATCAGCAGAGAAGGTAAGTGATAATAAGTTTACAAATCAAATACTATCCTCTTCTTATTTTCGTCTCACAATACTTGTAACACTACAATATTTTCACTCTCACAAATGAGTAATTCTGAATGTTAATTGCAAACAAGCTCTCAGAATTCACAGGTAATAAAATATATGATTCAAAAGGTAGGTTTCCTATATTTTAACACAAGAAACTGAATGTGATTGTGGTGTGGCTGGCATAATAATGTTGACATTTTCTCAATATATCCTTAAATGACTGTTTCTTCTAACATTTATTATCACCCTTCAGTGATGCTCTAGCCTGTTACATGAAGCACTATAAATCTTTGTTATCATCCACAGATCTGATAGAAATGGTTGCATTTCAAAAGTCTAAGAAGATCAACTTACATTTGTCAAAAATAATGAAGAAGAATGCCTGGGCAGAATGAAAAGAATTACTTCTCTATCTGGTTGACATGTACAACTTACAAAAAACAAAAAACAAAAAAAAAAAAGGAGGAGTGAATGAAGTGTATGTAAAATCATATAAAGCGTAAATCACTAATTATTATCTCAGAGCAAAATTAAAACATTTTCCTGATCTTTTAATGAGAAATTAGATGTTGCATACTTGGATATCTGTTAATCCTTGTTCAACTGGAATGGATCTTTCCTGACATGAGTCATGGTGAGCAGTACAAAACAAGTCAGACATTTAACTCTCCTTCTCTTGGTTCTAATGGGAAGGCAGAGGTAAATGTCGACTGTGTGAGTTTTTATGCAGCTGATGATAGTGGTGAAAATGACAAGTTAGGTAGGAAAGAGCAATAATAGCAGCATCAATCTTCAAAACTGCAAATCTGAGAGACTTGGAAAATCTTAAAAATAAGAAATTAAACTCATCAGTCTTTTACATAAACTCTTTCTCCTTTTCTTCTAACAGGTGATTTTTATGTTTTAAAATATACATTTTTATTTAATTAATTTAATTGGAAAAGTCAACGTGTCCACTTATAATTGTGCAAAGGTTTGACATGTCTCTGGTTTAGAGGACCAGAGAATTAAAGAATAGGTCTGTATAGCTTGATAAAATACCTGCTAATTCAAGCAGAGGAATTGTATTGGGGAGAGAGTGTGGCAGAAAAATGTTTTCCTCACTAAAAATTGAAGTAAGTAGGCTTGCTGAATTGGATCAGGCTTGATTTCCATGGCCTTTTGGATTAAGTCAGGGGAAGTCAGTACCAAGGTAATGGCATATCATAGATACAGTAAGTAAAGATAAAAAATCCTCTTTAATATAGAAAAACATGTTTAGGTGAATTGTATTTAAATCCTGAATTTTTTGTATGTGTAGGCTTAAGTCAGAAAAATACTTTGTTATATAAATGTGTGGTACTTTTTGTTTTAACAGCTTGGGCCAGTCAGTTTTATGGCAAGTACCTATAATAAAAGAAATGTATTTCTGAGTATTGAAATACAGAAAATATTACTTGGCTGGCAAATAGTGAGTTTTGATTTCCCCCATTGGTTCACCTTAGCTTGTAGTAAAGGATGATTTGGTTTTGACCTCTGAAGAAGATATTAATGAACACCTCTTTTGCATTTCTTTTATGAAACCCAAGACTGAACACACAAATTATACTAAATTGCACAGCTTCTAACACTAAATTTCACTTGTTAGTTGCCTTTTTGTCTAAATGATTTGTTATTCTTCAGATGACGACTTTCAGGAGGAAAAAAACCAAATTAATATGTTAATACAGTAGCTCTGTAATTCAAATAATTCTTTTCACAGTACTTCTACTTTTTGCTGCAAATAAAAACATATTTCCACACAAAGTCTTATGGACATCATCATAATAACTCGTGCATTCATACAATTAAATTGCTTTTCTGAATAGGACAAAAATGTAATATCTTAGTGCACATTATATATACATTGTCTGAATAAACTCAAAGTTGCTTGTAGGTTTCTCAGTTAATGCATGACACCAAAAGAAGCATTTTAAAAACAAACATACATTATAGAATATCTTATTTGAAATTCCGTATTATGATCTTTTTTGAGGATGAAAGAAATGAAAGAAATGAAAGAGAAAATAAACAGACTTTTGTGAGGTGCTTACTTTGCAGTCGAATTTAGAATCCTGAATTTTTTTTTTTTTTATGGCTTGAGTTTGTTCAGAGAGAATGGAGCAATAAGCTGGGGAACTTACAGTGCTATTTGAAAGCAATGGTTCCTTTTTTGAAATGTTGACAGTAATAAAATTTAACATAGTATTCATTACAAGCCAGGTGTACTTCCAACTGGCAATTCATTGAACTACTAGCTTTAGACACACTTCTGTTTGAACAAAGAGTAGTTAAAACTTTTCCAAAATGTTTTGAGAAACTTCTGTTTTCCTAAACATTAGTAGTGCTTACAACAGTAGCAGAAGTCATTATGCATTTTTTGAAAGAGAGGTTATATTTACTTAATTAACTATTCCATGAACACAGATTAAGTAGAAAGTGTATTGAGAAGCTTTTATTTTTATTTCACTGTCAAAATATTTTGACTGATAAACTAAAAAATAGGACCATCAATGCTAAAAACAAGTGTCTAGACCAAAAACTCATAGATCGTCATGGAAAGGTTACGTTTACATTTAGTGGCCCTGGGATCAAGTCCTAAAAGTGTAAATTAGCTAAGAGATTCTGGATAGAAACTAGAGGAGTATAAACCTGTACAGTCAGCACAAGTCCATAAACTGAGTGTTCATGTCTGACAAACTTCAAATGTGCATGATGAAGGACAGGTAAATAAGCATAAGTACATTTCTGCAGACAGTGAATCTTGCTTATATGTTCTTGCTGTGAAGCACAGGACGGGAAGCTCATCTCTCTCTACTGTGCATATGAGGAACCTTGGCTCTGTGGCTGGTTAATACAGCTGAGTTAAATGCCTGAATTTGCATGGTGTGGCACATCCATAAGAGAAAATATGGTAAAAGTTAAGGTAACTTGACAAGACTCAGTGGGAATATGTTGATTTATAGTCTTGATATTTGTAACATTTTTAACAGCCCTTTATAACAGATGCTGTTTCTACCCATATATATTATCTCAGTGTATGTATAAGGTTAAAATCAATACAAAATTGAGAAAACTACTATATAATATTCAAGAAATTAAAAATAATATATCTCTATGGCCAATTAACAAAAGGTTAAGATACCAATCCAAAATAACCTTGCATAACCCAAGCTTGGTGGCTTTTATGGAACTCCATGTTTATTGTTTGTCCTTAATCTCAAGCAGTAGAATATAAAAAACCTGTGCTATTAAACACACCATTTTTAGATTGTCATTTCTACAGATGTTTTGCAGACAACAATAAGAGCATTGATTTTAAGTCCTGTGTGATTTTTTTTGTCTAATTCATGGTTTTGACCATGTATGATCAAGCCTGTTTTGACAGCTGCTGCTTTACGAAAAGAACCTACTACAAATAATTAAATTATTCCAGTGGGCCATTGAACTGAATGAAAAATGTAACCCTAACACATAAAATACCAATTTTGTAACACTTGTGTAAATGTGAGTGAGCTGCTTTAGAGGAAAAGAAGTGAAATTCTGTGAGAAAACATTCTGTGAATATAGCTTTCATCTATGTCATGCACGTGTACGTGGCAAAACACTGGAAATACTGGGATCATCTGGAATAGAGATGTCTAAAATGTCATGATGACTGGAATGCCACAGAAAAAAAGAGTGAAATTAGCTTAGTGATTAAAACAGCTGTTTGATGAACCTCTGGGTAAAATTAAGTTACAATGGCAGACTGCACAAAAACCAGCTGAGGATAGATGGCTGTCTAAAGTACATCCCTATTTGAAAAACTGAATTTTTTAAATTTCCTTCCTGTTACTGGTTTTGACAGGTGGATGAATCATGTTAATTCACAGATTAGAAAGACATCATTTTTTATATTAACCTGGAAATACTCTGTTTTGAATGAGAAGACGAATACTTGTTTCCCATACTGTGAAAGAACAGAGGTTGCACTTTCTGCTAAGGAAAGAGGACCATAGAAAATGCTGAACTATTTCTTCCCTCTCTTCCCATTGGAAGAAATTGCAAGGTGTAATCTAACAAGGCAGATAAACTTTAACGTATTTTCCAATTATTCTGACAGGTTTGATCTCTCTTTTCATATGAGAAGACGAATACTTGTTTCCCATACTGTGAAAGAACAGAGGTTGCACTTTCTGCTAAGGAAAGAGGACCATAGAAAATGCTGAACTATTTCTTCCCTCTCTTCCCATTGGAAGAAATTGCAAGGTGTAATCTAACAAGGCAGATAAACTTTAACGTATTTTCCAATTATTCTGACAGGTTTGATCTCTCTTTTCATAACTGCAGTAAAAGCAAAATAAGTTGTAAAGTATGGTAGAAATCTTCCCATAAATCATTATTCTTATGATCTTACTATTCCAGTTGTTTTCATCCTGGATTTGCTGATCATGTGGATCTTGTGCTTATATCCAGCTGTTAGGAACAGTAAAATAAGTTAGAAACACTTCCAAGAGTTTACAGATGACACCAAGCTGAGTGGTGCAGTTGACATGCCAGAGGGACGGGATGCCATCCAGGGGGACCTGGACAAGCTCGAGAAGTGGGCCCGTGTGAACCTCATGAGGTTTAACAAGGCCAAGGGCAAGGTCCTGCACATGGGTTGGGGCAACCCCCAGTATCAATACAGGCTGGGGGATGAAGGGATTGAGAGCAGCCCTGCCGAGAAGG